GAGAGAGAGAGAGAGCAAGCGAGGGAGCGAGTCCTGTTGTGGTGCTGTAGGATAAGCATTAGACCATAAAGTCACTTTGTCTATAGTTCAAATTCACTAGCCACTCCTTGGAAACCCTGTACAGGAAAACCTATGCTCAACAATTCTGAACAACAACAAATATATATTTATATGGACACACACACACACACACATATATTAGTCCTGGTGTGGTGCTGTGGGTCAGTGCGCCAGACTGCAAAGCCATTTGAATTGTAAGGTCAGCGGTTTAAGCTCACTTGCTTCTCCTCAGAAACCCTATACAGGGTAGTTATGGGTCGGAACTAACTCGATAGCACTTCGCAACAGCAATATATATATATATAAATTTTTTTTTTTAACCCTCCATAATCTAGACTCAAGTTGCAAAAATAGCTGTGTATCTTTATTGGAGAGAACCTTTCCTGGAAATCTGAGAATACCAGAAATTATTAATAAAACCCCTAAGAAAACAGCCTAGTGTTAAGCTAATTATTTTGAACAGTAATCGTACTTACATAAACATAGAATGTCAAGATGCAGTAATAATCAATATATTTCATTAATCATAAGTAAAAAGTTGAGGGTAATATATATTTAGAGGTAAAAAACAAATGGCAGGGCTTTTTGGGGTCATATATGGATAAACATGACTCAAGGCCTATACCAAACCGATGCTTAATTTCAGTGATGAGAAAAATGCCTAAAACTTGTCAGTCTATTATTAGGAGTGTCTTTCATAATGTAGATGTTTGTACAGGACCAGATTAAACAATTCAGATCCCTAGGGCACTTTGAATTTAAAGTTCTTTATATTATCAGCCAGCACTAATAATAAATAAACAAAATCCTAATTAAAATAAATCATTCATCACATTGTGCTGCTATATTACTGAATATAAATTTTAATATGAGCGCACTGTGACAGGAACATAGGCACCTTAATTTCTAGCTTAATCTGACTCTAGGGTATTGGTCATTGATTTGCACTTTTATGTCTAAATTTCTGCTGTATATATTCCATGGCAATATCTACGTGGTTTGAACACAGGCAATGGAACTTAACTTGGTAGGAGAAAAGAGTCTACTTGATACCGGAAATACATGTATCTTTCATCAGGATGTGGAAGTCAATGGTATTCTCTAAGGTTGTTCTGTCTGTACCCCAACCTCACCCATGGCTAGCAATAGTTCTAGAACACAACAGAGCTCAAAAAATAGTGGCTGATTGATTAACTTGATCAGTGAATCTACTCAGCCACTTCTGGACATCAAACTTATCTCATAAAGAATGGTTACCTTTGCTACTGGTTCATACAAAACAAATATTTTTACCCTAGACAAAGGAGCCCTGATGGTACAATAGTTAAGTGCCCAGCCAAAAGGCTGGTGGGTCAAACCCACCCAGCAGTTTCGTGAAGAACAACCTGGCGGTCTGCACTCATAAAGAAAAGCTTGTCATGAGGTCGCTACGAGTTGAAATTGACTGGACAGCACATGGCAACATGAGACCAAATCCCAAACATAAAACCATTGTCATTGAATCCTTTCCAACTCATAGTAATCTTATAGGACAAACTAAATCTGCCCCCATAGGGTTTCTAGGGCTGTAATCTTTACAGACACAGTCTTTCTCTAATGGAGTCTTTGGTGGGTTTAAACTGCCATCTTTCAGTTAGCTGCTGAGCACATAATCATTGTGCTACTAAGGCTCCTCAACAGCAACAGGAAAGGAGCCAAAGTCTTACAAGGCTCCTCCTACATAGTCTTCCTGCGACCTTTCTACGCTGCCTGACTTGTGGTCCCCAGGATGTGCAAGTGACCTCTGTCTCTCTACCCTTGTGAATTTCTAGAACCTCTATGAGACCCAGTAGTCAAACAAACCTTCTTTTGCAACAAGTTGTTGCCATCACAAGATGGACAGGTAGTGTTTAATGACAGAATCAGATCTTTTTTATGACTCATGGGAGAAGTTTGGCTCAGCAGATTGATTGCAGGGTACCTTCTCTTCTGTGTTCTCTCTCTAATTAGTGTACAGTGCATTGAGTAAGATGGACCCCCTCACTGCACATTTAAATCACCTATGTAGGGAAACACTAACTTAGGTATTGTAGCATTTCAGCAACTGACTGAGCCTGACATTTTTATACCAAACTTTATAGCTGCCTCAGTTCTTCCTTTTTATTTATTTCACATTCATATATAACATTTTATTGTTGCAGAGATGTTCTGCTGTGGGCAGGATTATGTGAATATGTCAGATACCATATGCTGCTCAGCTTCCAGTGGAGAGTCTAAAGCACATGTTAAAAAGAATGACCCAGTGCCAGTAAAATGCTGTGAGACTGAACTTATTCCAGAGAGCCAGAAATGCTGTAATGGAGTTGGATATAATCCTTTGAAATATGTTTGCTCTGACAAGATTTCAGCTGGAATGATGATGAAGGTAATTGATAGAAACCTTCTCAGAGGTGCTGATTTGACAATGGAAAGAGAAATACATTGTTCATAACTATTTTTCTAAAATAGGAATATAAAAACTCTGGTGTGCATTATTCATTTTCACATTACATCCATATTAATACAGAATGAATTCCCTGTGATTGATGTTATTGCAACGAATTCTAAAGGAATTAATAATGATTAGCTGTTCTCAGGAAGCTTTACCCAGCACTTCAGATTACTACAGGAACTGAAAGGTTGTGTGCCGAAAAATCTAGCACAAATAGTCTAGGTCATATGTATGAATGCATTTACATGTCCTGAGAAGCCTCAGATTGAGTTGAGGGAAATTCCACCTTCTTCCGTCTAGCCTTTCTCACCATAGTCCATTTTCCTTGATGGGAACCTTAGATCTAGTAAATTCACTTGTTGTTGTTGTTTAAGTGGTATAAAGTCAGTTCCGACTTATAGTGACCCTGTATGGAGTTTCCAAAGACCTTCTGGCTCAAACTGACTTTGAGATCGAGTGCTTATCCAACAGTAAGTACCACACCAGGACTCCCAATTCCCTTAGTTGTATTTATATCATATTCTTTGGGGACAGTCCAAGAAAAGCAAATGTCTCTTGTCAACCACAAAAGTAAATAGGTCTATTTATGTTCATATACAAGAGGGTTTCAGTAAATTTCATGGAAAAATGGAATAAAATGATAATGAAATTTTTCCATGATTTTTTGAAGCACCCTCATATAGCTATACCATGTTTGTTAGCATTAAACTTGACACAGGACTCCAGAGATGTCCCCATTAAGGAAGGGGTTATGGTTATTAAAAACACAAAAACAACCGCACCCTGCCATATTCATGTATCTTCAGGAGATGACAAAAAACGGATGTCTCGGTGCAGAGTGAGCATCCCCTTGGTGGGGATCATACATTTTGAGATGGGAAATAAAACTCTGTGAGATTGCTAAAGCCCCATTGAGCACCTTGTAGTAATTAATTATTAAGGTAACATGTTAGGTTGCTAAAGAGAAAAGGTACTGCTGAAAGTGAATAATCAGATAAAATATCCACCCCAAAAGAGATAATCATCTGTTAAAATTCTGTCAGAAAGTCAATTGTCTGTTAACGATTAGTCTAATTTGTTCACAACTTTAGTCAGCCAATCCAGTGAAAGAAATCCAGCCATTATTTCTGCTCCCAAAGTACAGTTTATTTGAAAGCAATTCCTTCAGAAGTTTGAATAAGGATGTTTTTCATAATTCATAATAGCATTTGGTCTCAGAGACTAGCAGTGTTCAGGAACATGTCTGTAAGATGACTAGTCAGGAAGCATCTATGTATATTTGAAAATGATGCTAGAAGGCATGTTACTTTCAGAAATATCACTGTTCCCTACAATTATTTGTTTAGTTATTGCTTTCTCACATTTGTTACCCAGAAACTGGGTCAAGCATCTCATTTTGTTTTCAGTGAACTAGAAAAACAAATCTGTTGCCACTGCGTCTACTGACATGTATGACAATACCATGGTTTGCAGAGCAGAACTACTTCACAGGGTTTTCTTATTTGTAATCTTTATAGAACCTGAACACCAGACCTTTCCTCCACAGTGCTATTAGAGATTTTCCTAGGGTGTGAATCTTTGTGAGAGCAAAAAGTCTCATTCTGCTCCCAAGGAACAACTGGTGGACTTGAACTGCTGACCATATGGTTCTCAGTCCAGTGCTTATCCTACAGAGTCACCACACTCTCCTTTAGGCTAGTGGTGGTTGTTGTTGTTATGTGCTCTGGAGTCCATTCTGATTCATAGTGACGCTATGAACAGCTGATTCCTGAAGAGCAGTTGGTGAGTCTGAACCGCCAACCTTGTGGTGCGCAAACCTTTGCTTATCCTACAGACCCACACCAGGTGTCCCTTAGGCTAGTAGTTGATCAGAAATAGTTTGCACCAAAGTTCCCATTGCTTAAGGAGGATGTTCAAATTATATCTATGATTTCCTAAACTGGCTTTATGAAGGCCAATTAATAATCATATTTAAATTGTTATGACCAGAAGATATTTCTCTATGTTGAATCAAAGGAATGTAGTATAGGTAAAGCTCAACCTGCCAGTTCCATTTTCCATCCTGAAGACCTCTTTCTTGGAGACTTATATTGGCTCCAGTCTGGATTGTATCATATCATTGGATTTTTGTAGTTTTCCCAAAGTGACAACTCAGGAATGCCATTCACCCCTTTTCTAGATTGGTGTACCTGAGTTCCAAGTTTTCCTCTTTCTTGGGTTAATTCTGTCTTTTGCAGGATTCTTTATCTGGGTAAAAGTGCACGTGTTGTTGTTAAGTGCTGTTGAGTCCATTCCGACTCATAGCAATCCTGTATAACATTTCTGAGGAGCGGCTAGTGAGTTTGAACTTCTGACCTTGCTGTTCAAACGGACTTTGCAGTCCAGCACATTAACCTGCAGTGCCACACCAGGACCACAAAGATGTATATTAAGTACTTTTTTTGAGAATTCACATATACTAGAGAGCTCCCCAACTGCCCCATCTCCTATATCTATTTCTTTGCCATGCCCTGCCATATCACTAAGTCATTGTCATGTGTTTGAGTTGTTTTTATTTTTGTCTGGCAGCATCCAACTTCAAATTTATGTGTTTATGATTAGCTAGGGTCCACTACACTGTCTTAAGTAACAAATGCACTCTGGTATGCATTGGCTCTTCAGAAGGGCTTTTTGTTCACATTATATCCCAGCGTGCATCAGGCAACTCTCCTCCCAGCAGTGTCAGGAACATGGGTTCCTTCCTTCATGTGGCACTGAACACACAGTCTTCAGGTCACTGGGAAAGGGAAGAGAGAGCAGATAATGGTGCATTTATGCACCAAACCTGCATGCAGAGCTCATCTTTTCTGCACACTAATCACACTGATATATCTAGTTATGAGGCGCCTCCTGTCAGGTAAATTTGAAAATCTAGTTCTCCCAGGAACAAAGAGCAAAAATGGACATAACAGAGCACATTATTTTTTCTCTGCCACATCCATTTACTTTCCAGCTGCCCCCTCCCCCCAATTTGAGCTTCCTTGTGAACATTTATTCACTTTTCATTTTCCTGGTCTTTCAGAATTGGTTGGGCTTTAAGAAGAAGAGTAGAAAATTGCAGGTATTTAATTGACCATGTTTAAAGAAAAGTTCTGGAGTTCGTTACAAAAAGTTAAGGCTAAGTTATTAACTGAAAAACTGAAGGTTGTAGCCTGCCCAAAGGTGCATGTTGGGAGAAAGGCCTGGTGAACTATTGCTAAAAATCAGCTGTGGAGTTGGTTCCGACTCACAGAAACCCTGTATAGGGTTTCCAAGGCTGTAAATCTTTATGGGAGCAGAAAGCCTCATTTTTCTCCCATGGAACAGCTGGTAGTTTTGAACTGCTGACCTTGAGGTCCAAATTTTTATGGGAGCAGATGTCCTCATCTTCCTCCTGTAGATCAGTTGGTAGGTTTGAATTGCTGACCCTGAGGTTAGCAACCCAATGCTTAACCCACTGTACCACCAGGACTTATTTATCCAGCCGTGGAAAAATAAAACATGGCCTGTACTTCACACACACGTACAAAATAAGCTAACTCAAAATATATCAAAGGCCTAAATGTTTCCTAAAACCATAAAATTCCTGGAAAACAACATATGAAGAAAATTATGAGACCTAATCTTTTCTAAAAATAGAATTAAAAACATCACAACAAATGACTGGAAGACAAAGTAGATAAGTAGATAAATGGGACTTCATAGAGAGTGAAAATGTACACTAATCAACAGACTTTATTTAGAGTACGTAGGCTACATACCCAGGCAGGGGCGGGCGCGGGGGGACAAGATCTTTGGAAATGGCTTATCTGATCACATTCTAAAGTTTAAAATCTATTAAACACTGCAACAGTTCAGCTACAAAAAGAGCAACAATCCAGTCATAAAATGGGCAAGGAATATCAACAGAACTTTCACCAAGCAGCCACAACCTTATGAAAGGACATTCACAATCATTGCTGTTGCTGAGTGCTGTTGAGTCAGTTCCAACTCAGAGTGACCCTGTATAGGGTTTTCAAAGAGCAGCTGGTTAGTTTGAACCATCAACCTTGAGGTCCAGTGCTTATTGTAAACTAAATTCACTGTCATTGAGTTGATTTTGACTCATAGGGACCTACACAGGGTTTACAAGACTCAGAGATGAATAGACAGCCTCATCTTTCTCCTGAGAAGTGACTGGTATATTTGAACAACCACACTTGCAGTTAGCAGCCCATTGCTTATCCAGCAGTGCCTCAAGGGCTCCTTAGAATTGTGTATGTTGTTGTTGTTTTTGTTAGTGTCATCAAGTCAGTTCTGACTCACAGCAACTCTGTATAGGGTTTATGAGGAGTAGATAGTGCACCTAACCCTCTGACCTTGCAGTTAACAGTTCAGTGTTTAACCTACAGCATCACACCAGGACTCAGATATGTGTAAATACAAATGTGGAGTGCCAGCAGATCTATTCAAGGAAAACACAAATACAGATACTCCACAAACACCTCCCAAGATTAATATTCTGGCTTTGAAGGCTCAGTATTGTAATCTCATGGGATAATTCAATTAATTGGCATAACATAGTTCACAAAGATCATGATCTGCATTCTAGTGAAGTGAGTAGTTTCTGGAGTCTTAAAAGCTTGCAAGCAGCCCTCTAAGACAAAACTATGGGTCTTTACTAGCCAGAAGCACAGCAGTAAGAGGGTGAAAGTGTCAAGAAGACAAAAGTCTACATGAGCCTTAACCTCACCTACCCTAAGACTGAAAGAGCTAGATGCTGTCCAGCTTCCATAACTGGATATTCTAGTCAGAGTCATAATAGTTGGTCCAGATAGAATGGAAGAAAAATATTATGCAGAACTCAATATTTAAAACCTGCACAAGTGAAATGCGGCACCCTATCCAAAGAAGCAGTGATACCAGAGATGGAGGCAGAGATGGGGACATGGAGAGAGGGAGCAGCTAAGGACTCTAGACTCGAAGATTTAGAGGAACTGAGAGCTGGTGGCCTGGAGGCAGACCGTAGAATGTGCCCTTTTAAAAATTATTATATATGCCTGAGTGTTTAAAAAAAAAAAAAAGCTAAAATGAATAGAAAGAAAAAAATGTTAACTGATGGTACATGGAGGGGATTATAATCATTGTAATGAAACAAACTATATGAATTGTTGAATGTAAAACTGATGATCTGCCCTGTAAACTTTCACTGAAGTCACAATAAAAACCTTAAAAAAACAAAACAAAACAAAAACCTGACAAACTGTAATAATAGAGAACAGAGGATGTCCTGGGACAATTGAGATCACCTTTGAGTGACATAACACAGTGACACACACTGTAGTGCTGTGGGATAATACGCTGGACCACAAGGTCTGTTTGAAGCACAAGGTCTGCAGTTCAAGCTCACCAGCTGCTCCTCAGAAACTGTAAGAGTCGCTATGAGTCGGAAACCATTTGAAAACACTTAACAACAACAACCCGTAAGATTGATGCACTGCTTAGAAATCACCTATTTGAGGCAAAAATGACTCAAAAAAAGATAAAAAGTTATTGGGGAAGGGAAACTATAGTACCAGAGAGAGAACAAACACCACAACTGAAAAGAATTCTGACACTGTATGATAAATTTAATTAATGTTAGTGAACAATTTGGAAATTGTCAGATGGGAACTTAAATTGCTGTATACACTTTTTCCAGAAACTCAATCAAATATTGTTATTGTTGTTGTTGTTGTTGTTGTTTTAAAAAAAGGAAAAGTAGACATTTGCTTTATAAGAATATTTTCTTATTTGTTGTTGTTGTTAGATGCCATCGAATTGGTACCGATTCGTAGCAACCTTATGCACAGCAAAACGAAACACTGCCCCATCCTGGGCCAATCTTACTACTGTTGCCACGCTTGAGTGCATCAATGCTGCCACTTGGCCAATCCATCTCGCTGGGGGTCTTCCTTTTTTTCCTCTGACCCTCCACCCTACCAATCATGATATCCTTTTCCAGTGACTGGTTCCTCCTGACAATGTGTCCGAAGTATGAGAGATGAAGTTTGGCCTTCCTGGCCTCCAAGAAGTACTCTGGCTGCTTTGGGAACATTAAGCATTTAATGTTTTTCAGAATATAGCACGCTGGTTCTTTTCAATAACTACAAAAAGTCCACAGACTCGCCACAGAAAAGGCTTCGAATATGAATGATTATAATTTAATAACACTTCATGAAATATTTAGATTTTCTAAAGCTTAGATGTTGTTGTTGTTGTTAAGTGCCATCGAGTCGGGTCCGACCCATAGCGACCATGTACAGGGTTTCCGAGGGTGTAAATCTTTACGGGAGTAGAAAGCCTCATCTTTCTCCCGTGGAGCGACTGGTACTTTCGAACCGCTGACCTTAAGGTTCGCAGCCCGATTTGTAACCACTACGCTACCAAAGCTTAGATAAGGCATACCATATGGTCCCAATCCTCCCATGGTTGCAACTTCCTTGTCAACCAAATAGTGTAGCATCTCAAGAAAAGAAACATCATTTTCTCTAAAACCTCATTGGGAAAGTGTCAAAATAACAATAATAGAATACTAACTTTTTAAAAAATGATGTATCTACTGAAGTTAGGTTTTTATAGATGATTCTCACAACAAACTACATGGTAAATTTAATTTCTTTTTTCCCAATAAAGAAACTGAGGATTTGAGATCATAAATGACTTGTTCAAAGTCACATAACAAGGATGTTGAAAAACTGGATTTTGAAACCAAATCTGTGCTATTTCAAAGTAACTTCTCTTTTTAGTATGCAAATCTCATTTCTGTTTATGAGATTTGAAATAGTCGTTCATGAACTACATGGGAAAAAATTTCATTGGAAGGTTATAAAAAAAAGCAAACAAAATCTACCCATCGTATGTCTAAATGAATCTTTGAAATACATTTATTTTTCTCTCCTCACCCCTACCATTTGACTTAGGAAACCAGAAAAATGCTAGACTCTCTGCCCAGTATCCATGGAAGCCACAGCACATTGTGGGAGGTTTGACTTCAACTTTTGCAATCGTGTCTGCACTGTTATAAAAGCGGCTCATAATTCCACGGAAAAGACATCAAGCGAAGACATATGCTTCTCTGCTGAAGACATTTCATGGTCTATATGGGGAACTCAAAGATACACTCCTTTACAGGTAACAGAAAGTGAGCTCTTTGCCCACTGGTTAGTAGGGAGAGTGAAAAGGCACGATAAAAAGCAAATTCATTTTACTCTGGACTTCCTCTCTCCTCTTATCTGAATATCAGTTGATTCCAATATACTTTGAGGTCAGCTAGTTACAAGGTAATTAAAGGCAGCTAATTACAAGGTAGCGTAGTGGTTACGAATCGGGCTGCGAACCGTAAGGTCAGCGGTTCGAAACTACCAGCTGCTCCACAGGAGAAAGATGAGGCTTTCTACTCCCGTAAAGATTTACACCCTCGGAAACCCTGTACAGGGTCGCTATGGGTTGGAACTGACTCGACGCCACTTAACAACAACAAAAAACTACAAGGTAATTTGGACTTGTTCAAAATTAGTAATGTAAATATTTTTAAAGTCTTTAATCAAGCATGAATATTACTTTAAAGTTAATCTGTGGAGAGTAAAGAACAGAGAAGTACATGATTTGTATTCCCTTTTCCAGTATCTCCAGTTAATTTTAAATGAATCAAAGTTTTCCAAGATTGAATGCAGACTTTCAATGAATGAATATTGTAATACTCACAAACAGAAAGAAGAATGGAGCTGTCTGATTACTAGTAAAATCTTGTAGATTATTCTGAGTAAAAGGGAAAACGAAGGGTGGTGTTTTCTCAAGATGGCGTATCATCTTGGAAATAATCATCTTTGAATTTATTAAAAATATTAACATTTCAGCACCATCTCAGCTCTTTTGAATTAGTCCAAAATAGTATGCTCAACCCTGACTAAATTGCATGTGAGAAACACTATAAAGCTTATCTCCAAAATACAATTGTGCAACAACAAAGATACAAGAGACCAAATGAAAAAGTCACAGATGAAAAGCCAGGAACCCTGAACTTCAGAGAAAAGAGAATTGGATTGAGTGCATGCAAGAGAGGAAGACAGGCTGCTGAATGGCCGGCCATGCAGTGCAACTGTCTTGGGATAAGTTTTGGCAACAGGAGGTGGGTTGGCCGTGCAGATGCATACACATGACAGAAAAGGTGCTATTCCTTCTTTTTTCCCATGCTCCCTTAGGGACCAGAGGTGTGGTCATCTCCAGCCTTCATCCGCTCCCAGCTCAGACCTCGCTCTCCAGGATACCAGTGCCATATCATCAGGATCCACGCCAAAGTGAGGCAGGGGCCAGCTGTGCCACTTCCGTGAGCCACTTTGGTACCAGGATTCAGGTGGGCTCACCTCCAGACCTACAGAACCCATAGAGCCAGTCACCATGCCCCCAGCTGCCCTGTGATCCTAACAGATACTGAAACCAGCTCCTTCACAAGTGTCCACAAACTACTTCCAGATTGAGTGCCTGGAACATAGAGAAGGAGACCACAACTATCTCTTGAAATTTTTGATGTGTGGAAGCCCCCAAGAATTTTCTCCTGTCTGGGTCCAATAGCTACACGGTTTTTGGTTTGGGTTTTAGATTTGATTTTTCCTTTACTTGTGTCATTGGTTTTGTTTATTTAATCTTTCTCCTCTTTCTTCTCTTTCCAGTCCCTTGAATTTTATCCTTTCTAGCTCTGCTGTTGTCTTTTTTCCCATTGGTTTCTCATTACCCATCTTCTATTTTTCCCTTTTGATCTTTCTTTACTATTCTCTATCTCTTTTTGTGTGTGTGGTTTTTTTTTCCCTCTCCCTGGTTTTTCTAAGTATCTTTTTCTTCCTTTTATTTACTCTCTCATTTTTCTTTTTTAGAGCTCTACATTCCTGTCTCTCTTCTCTTTTTGAGTTATTCATCATAAGTTTTTGTTTTGTTTTGTTTTTTAATTTCATCCTTTTATTTTCTCCCTTGTAGCTCCATTTCCATTATAGTTTTATATCTTTATAGCTACTATAGTTCTTTTTTTTTCTGATTGTTGCCTATTTTCTATTTACTTTTTCTCTTCATTATTTTCTCTTTGCTGGTCCCTTGTTTATTTATTCTCTTTCGTTTTCTTGTATGTGTGTGGTTGCAACAGGAGAGTGCAACCTTGCCCTTATAACCCAGGTATGACCATACCCTCTGCAGCTCGATCCACTAAGCCAGTACCAGCTCCTGTACCACCTGATCAATGATAGATAGCAGTCAACACCAGCCAAATCCACCCTGAACTGAGATGCATGTATATCAAACAAGAACAATGTGCACATTTTCTAACTACACCCACAAGAGATATTTGGTGAGAGCCTGAGAACACACCAGCATGCAATCATCAATTAACTACAAATATGATAATCCCACAATGTCCTGGAATCAGCATACAATTTTAGCCCACATGAAGAAACAAGAGATAATGACTCAAACAAATAGCCAAGATGCAAAGCCAGATAATATTCCTGAGGAAGAAAAGGAAATGACACTAACTGAAAAAGAATTCAAAAGAATGATAATTTGGTACCTTCAAAGGATTGATAGAAAGATCAAGGAAAGCAAGGAGAACACAGTAAAAACTTTAGAAGCATTCAGGAAAACACTACAAGAACAAACAGACAAAAAAATGCACACTTTGAAGCAATATAAAACCTGCAATTAGAAATCCAGAAGATTAATACTAAGATATCAGAAATAGACAATACATTGGAAGGACAAAGGGGCAGATGCACAGCAATGGAAGCCAGAATTAGTGAGCTTGAAAATAAATCTCTCAATAGTAGTATGCTAGAAGAACAATCAGAAAAAAAGAATGAAAAAATCCAAAGAAAGCCTAAGAGTTATATAGGACACCATGAAGAAGAACAACCTACAGATGATCAGAATTCCAGAGACAAGTAAAACACAGCGAAAAATGTCAAAGAGTTCTCAAAAGAAAACTTCCCTAACATCATGAAAGACAAAAAGATAACAATTCAAGAAGCTAAATGAACCCCAAACAGAGTAGACCCCAAAAGAAAATAACCAAGTCATATCATAATCAAACTGTCTAAAACCAAGACAAACAATACTGAGAGCAGCTCATGAAAAACTAAAAGTTACTTACAAAGGAGAACCAATAAGATTAAACTCTGATTTTTCAGCAGAAGCTATGCAGGCAAGAAGGCAATGGGATGACATAAACAAAACTCTGTTTTTCATGTTAATGCATGGAAGGGATTGCAATCATTGTAATGAAGCAAAGTATATGATTTGTTGAATGTAAAACTGATTATCTGCTCTATAAACCTTCACTCAATTCACCATAAAAAGTTATTATTTAGCCATTTTCTTAATCCCTATAGAGTTTGTTTCTGTTTTGAAAAGTATCAAATATATATGTTGTTGTCGATGTTAAGTACTGTGGAGTCGGTTCCGACTCACAGTCACTCTGGACAGTGTTTCTGAGGCTTCAAATCTTTATGGGAGCAGAAACCCACCTCTTTCTCCCAAAGAACAGCTGGTAGTTTCGAACTGCCTACCTTGCGGTTAGCAGCCTGATTTGTAACCAGTACACTCTATGCTACCAGAGCTCCTTATCATGTGTTCATATATATATATTTTTAAAGTTTTTAATGTATTTACCCTATCCATCATCTGGAGTTAAATAGAATCCATGTAAGTGATGTAAGTCAAACAAGCTAAGGTTAAGCAAACAAAAATACACTCTGTTTTATCATAACTCACCATTCTGCCTTCCTCAGCCAATGCTGGATAGTAAGGCAGCCCTCAAGAATGCAAATGATAAGACAGGATACTGGGATGAGAGTTAAAAGATTTTAGAGAGAAGCAAAGGTTGGAGATAAGGATTATTGAACATCATTTGGTTAAAAACAAAAACAACTCACTGTTAGAGTTCTCTTTTCAGATGTAAATGTGGAGCAATATATGACATATGAATATAGGATTTCTGCATGGAATAGTTATGGACAAGAATTCAGCAAAGCTGCTAGAGCCAGTAAAATAGATGATGTGCCCTAAGGAGTGGGTCCCCCTACCTGGACCAAGATGGATCATGTTAAAGATGTAATAGTCTTGAACTGGAAGAAACCTATACAGCCAAATGGTATCAAGATACTTTAAAAATAGAGATACTATTACCCATCCGTACAGCTCTCTGGGAACCCAAAAAGAAATTGAAATGAGTATAATTTACATATAGTTGGCATGCCTCTAACCGCTAATAAGTATTTTTGATAAAATTAGCTTTAGTTTTGTGCCAACTAATCATTCACTTTCTAGAAGAGCCCTTATAAATTTTAGCCAAAACAAAACAAAATTTCCTTGAATTTCAGCATAAATGGGAGTTACTTTCAACGAAACAAAGAATGTTCGAAGAAGTAAGCATAACTTTAATATTGAAAAGTATACCTGTTTGGCGATAAGAGGAAAGAAATGTAAATGACTTTGATTCTCTATGTCACTAATCTGTCTCTTCCAAATAGTGAATATAATTAAGAACTCCTTGTGCATAGCAATATAATAGCAAATTCAGATTAAATAATTCTACTCCTGTTGTTAAGTGCCATCGAGTGGGTTCTGACTCATAACAACCCTATACGGGGTTTCCGAGGAGCAGCTGGTGAGTTTGAGCCACCAACCTTGTGCTTCAAACCGACCTTACAGTCGGTTTGAACCTTCAGCACTACACCAGGATTCCAAATAATGCTATAATATCGTATTTATTCAGAATACTGAGTCATATCAATTGTTTGCAAATATATTTGATGTTACATGACACTAAAAATAGCCACTTTTTCCTGCCTTTTTTAGGTCATATAATTTACTACATTCTCCTCCGAAATGGGACTGGATGCTTTTGGGGAACATCATTAACCTTCTCTGATCCAAAGGGAATTCATTCTTTTCAGGAATATTCATATGAGCTGAAAGCATGCACAGTTGCTGGCTGTACTGCCAGCAGAAAGGTAATGAACGTTTCCTGAAACCCTAGAATGAGGGACCCAATGTGACAATGAATGTTCAGGCTGCAAATTATTTTTCCAATGGGGAAAAAAAACAATATCCCGCTCAAAGTGGTGTTAAGTAGGTGTTCAGCATCTCCTTTGGGTGCTAATCATTATGCAGAGACCACTGGAAGAAAGATTTATGCAAACATCTGTCTTTTATTAATAAACTCACAAGAAAATGTGATAAGTATGGTCTAGTCCTCATTCACACCTCTCCCTTATTAACTATTTTTAGGTGAGTTTATGTAAGCCCATAAAAATTTCCAACCCATTCTTCAATTGAATGTGGTTTTCTAGTTAAATATTTCACCCAAAACTTGCTTGTTCTTGAAAATGGAGAGAAGGGCAAAACAACCGGGCAATACAAATAAAATATTTTAGAGGCTATTGTGATAAACTAGACAAGAAGTAAAGAAGTCCGGAATGTAAGCTTCAGGGGTAGAAATTCAGAAAATCAGAAAATTCAGAATCTACGTGACAGCCAACTTTAGGTAGAGGAGTAAAAGGAAAGAGTCAAAGATATTTTCAAGATATCTAGCTTGAGGAATTTGTGAGTAACAGTACTATTTTTTTTTTATTCTTTTTTTATGTTTTATTGTGAATTATGTGATAGGTTACATGGGAGAACATTAGTTTTACATTCATCCTATTGTATACTGTTTCATTGCCATGGTTACAATCCCCTCCATGCATCATCAACCAATCACAGTGTATACCCAGCAAGCCTGTCCCCTCAGTCATCAGCACACAGCTCCTCTCCCTCTCTGGGTCTAAAGTCCCCAGCCGCTCCATTTCTCCATGTCACCATCTCTGCCTCCATCTCTGGCCTCACTGCTTCTCTGGGTAGGGTCCTGCTCTCCTCTCTTTCCCCTTGATGGTCCCAGGGACCTCCACCCTTAGACTGCAAAGTCAATCACTCCCCTTCTTACTACAAAATGTCTCCCTTTTCATTTCCAACCCTCACAATCAGTCCTGATAACAATTATTCACTACTGTATCACAAGAGACCTATCCGCATTTCCTTTCATCAGCCCACCCAGACACATTAGATACTACTCAATGGAGATTCTACCTTCCTGCATTCCTCTGGATCTAGATACTTTCTTGAAAGCTTGTAAACCAGTCACTTCTTGCCTTTGAAGCCCCCCCATTTTGGGTAGCCAATGTCCAAGTTGCCCATCCCTGTCTACTCTGAGTGTGGAGGGGGTGGGAATGATCCTTGCTGTAAAGATTTGTTCCCTCTTTTGAGCTACTGCATCCATAGGTGTAGGTCAAGTTCATCAAATTGTGTCAGAATACTCTTTTTTTTTCTTGTTCTGTCTTCTTCTAGTTGAGCTCTGATCATCCAGTCATTGAAGCCAGGTCAAGTGGGTATTTTCTGGAAGTGTGGGTGTTTTTGTGTATATGCCCTCTCTTCTTATCAGCTGGACACTTCACTCTCCACTCTAATCCTCTGTGGCTATGTCACTGACTCTGGGCTGAAGAGTCCCTAGGTCTTGCCACACTGCTGGCCAACCAGGTCTTGACCAGGGTTCACAGGAGTCTATTGAACATTGTAGGTCTTAGCTCGCCACTTCATTGCTGTTTTTCCCTCACTTCCCCTTATCGGTGACAAACATGGTCACCAATCAGAGTGTGTATTTCCATTGAGTCTTAGTCTTGGAAGCAGGTTTGCTCTGAGGGGACCCGACCACTTGCCTTGATGTCTCCTGGGCAAGCAACTTGCTTGTTCTTGTACTAATCAGTCAGTCTGCCTATATTGTTTTGTATTTTTCCTGTCAGTCTTGCTTTCAAGAAATATCTTTTGTTCTTCTAGCCATTCCAGACTGGTCTGCTTGCCCTTTCAAGTGGAAATTTCCTTCCTCTAAAGATTCTGGATGCTGTTTAGGATTCCACCCATGGTCTTATGTAATGCAGAGGCTCCACAGGAAGCCTCCTTCACGGGGCACCTTGTATCCCCATTTTAGGTATTCCAATCAGTTATAGGCAGAAGATGGAGTTACAAGCTTTCTATGGTGATACTTCTGGCTATCCCTTTCTCTCCCCCTCGAGTGCCTATTTGATAATGGTATGCCAGGGAAACCAAGATTCGTATGACAGGCAAACATCTTGACTTTATTTTCTTCCTTTTCCCCATTCCAACCATGTCTTAATTCCTGTATCCCAGAGCCCTGTTGTTCCAAGGTTGTGCATACATCATTATTTACCTCTGTCCCGCTTAGCCCATCCAAACCTGCCTAATTGTTCTCCCATTCCCCTCCTCCTTCTTGTGTATTGCCCCCCTCCCTAGCACCCAAACTATTCTGTGTCTATTCCCTGCCCTGTGCTCCACTTTCACTTCCCTCCCCTCACCCGACCCCCTACATCCTGATAACCAGAAAAGAATCCCACCCCCCCTTTAGTATGGATTCTTTTTCTTAGTCTTTTACAGTAGTGGTCCTACGCAGTATTTCTCCTTTTGTGATGACTAATTTCACTCAACATAATGTCCTCAAGTTTCATCCATGTTATGCGGTGGCTTGCTATTCTTCAAGGTAGCTTAAGTGCTATTCTTTAAGTAAGTAAAAATCAAAAGAGGAAAAGTTTAAAATGTTGTTAAGTGCTGTGAAGTTGGTTCTGATTTATGGTGACCCTGTAAAAAGCTTTCAAAAAGGCAGCTAGTGGGTTTGAACCACTGACCTTGTAGTTACCAGTCCAGTGCTTATCCTATAGCATCACATTGTTGTTAAGTGCTATCGAGTCGGTTCAGACTCACAGCTCCCCAGCATTGAGTTTTCAAGGAGCAGGTGGTAGGTTTGAACTGCCGCCCTTGTGGTTAGCAGTCTAGTGCTGAAAGCGCCACACCAGAAGTCCATAGAACAATAAAAAGATTAAAAGTTAAAATTAAAGAGAAGTAGATCACAGGAAGTAGAAGAAGCAGATATTCTATGGCACTAGACATTTATGAAAATGTCTAGAAGATGAATTAAGAAGTGATTGAAATAGGTTAATAAGAACTATATGGGAAGTTGAATCAAAGGACTTAAAGATAGCCGTCTGTGGAGACTATGTGGGAGACACGGGGGTAGTTCCTTGTTAGAATTCTCACCTTACATGCTGGAGATCTGGGTTTGATTCCTGGCCAATTTACCCCAGGTACAACCACTACTTCTCTGTCAGTGGAGATTTACAAGTGGCTCTGAAGATGCACTTTAAGGCATTTGCAAAAAATTAGGCTTAAGGAGTTGATGGAACATAATTTGAAACATTTCAACAAACATATGCAGTGCTGGAAGCACTCACTTGTGTTTGCCAAGAAATTTGGAAGACAACTACCTGGCGAACTGACTGTAGGAGATCCATATATGTGCCCATTCCAAAGAAAGGTGATCATGCAGAAAGTGAAGATTATCAAACAATATCATATACAAGTAAAATTTTGCTGAAGATAATTCAAAAATATTTGCAGCAGTACGTTGATAGAAAGTTGTCAGAAGTTCAAGCCAAATTGAGAAGAGGAAATGGAGGGAGGAATATCATTGCTGATACCAGATGGATCTTGGCTGAAAGCAAGAATACCAGAAAGACGTTTAATTATGGTTTATTGGCTATGCAAAGGCATTCAACTGTGTAAATTATAACAAACTATACCTAACATTGAGAAGACTGGGGATTCTAGAACACTTAATTGTGTTCATGCAGAACCTGTAGACCAAGAGGCAGGCAATCATTTCAAAAGAACAAGGGGATATTTTGTGGTTTCCAATCAGGAAAGGTGTACATTAAGGTTTTATCCTTTTCATCATAACTTATTCAATCTGCATGATGAGCAAATAAACATAGAAACTGAACTATATGAAGAAGAAATGGTATCAGGATTCTAAGAAGGGTCATTAACAACCTGAGTTATGCAGATGACACAAACTTGGTTGCTGAAAGTGAAGAGGACTTGCTACTGCTGCTGTGTGCCGTGGAGTCGGTTCCGACCCATAGTGACCCTGTACAGCACTTCCAAGGCTGTAAATCTTTACAGGAGTGAGGTACTTGCTAATGAAGATCAGAGAATACAGACTTCAGTATAGGTAGCATTTCCTTTCATTGTATTTAGGGTAATCATGATTCATAGACCACCTCAAAGACAGCTAGCAGCAAGGAAAATATATAGAATGGCAAAAACACAAGACCACAGACAGTGAGCATTGGAGAACCCAACCAAATTAAAAGAGGAAAGCCTTTAAAGAAAACTAGAAGAAACAACTAAACAATTTAAGAATAAGATAAGGGAAGAGCCATTTCGCAGTAGCCAACCTAGTCAGAGGAAATCCAGGAGAAGATAAACTCACACACAACAGCTCTCTTTCCCTAAGACTAGAACTTTAGAAGAGCAGTGTTTTAACAAACTGTGCAGGAGCTACCCAAATATGACATTTAGTCACATTGATCAACCACATTGTACGGGTGCAACATTTTGTTCAACAGACCCACAGACATATCTCAGAGTGTGCCACGAGTAGGACAGATGACAGTGGGTTGGCCCCACCCCAAGTTATGGTCTGAGTGGTCTTAGAACTATTCTGTGTGTTTTTGCATAGACACACAGTTCATGCCTGCCAGATGCCAGAACAACTGGTTAAAAAGTAAATTCAAAGTTAATTCTGTAGGGGGAAAAAAATCTAGGTAATTTTCGGTCAAGACTGGAGTTTGAAATATTGAATAAATCGATGGTTGATTTATCCTTTTCTCTTATCATTTGCTTTTTTCCTAGAACATAGGGTACAGAGAGTATAAAGTCATCCTAGGTCTCACAGGAAGAATATAGAAATGTGTGCCTGTTTACACTGTTCAAAGCATATTATATGTAAGCAAGTTCAGATGTAGATTTTGCTCCACATTTACTGGTACTTAAAATGTACAAAATCAGGCTGTTAAAATGCAAAGACACTGATGGACCATATGGAAGAGAGTTATCAAGAGTTTTCTAGCAAGACAGTCTGCCAGCCAGATTTTACTTGTTTAAACTGAGGGCTTCACTTTGCTGTCAAAATTGTTGTTGAACCTGTTGTGATAAATGGTAGTCTGAGACTTATGTAATGCATTCAAGGTCAGATTTCATTGTTTAAATAGGATGGGAGAGAAAGAACAATAAAAAGGGGGGCCCTGCTTCTCCAAGCCCTTGCTAATGATATGCCAGGCCAGACCACAACATTTTAAAACAAAAGTGACATTCTCATTGATCAGGATACCTAGTGTACTGTTACTATAAATTGATGTTTAATTTCTGTGTCTTCAGGTAGTTGCAGCCACTACCCAAGGAGTTCCAGAGAGCATGCTGCCATCACGAATCACAGACTCAAGTGCAGAGACTTTGCATTTGAGCTGGAGTGTCCCTGAGAAACCAAATTATGTCATTAAAGAGTATCAGCTCAGGCAGGTTGGGAAAGGTCTTATCTATACTGATACCTCTGACAGGAGGCAGCATCCTATCACAGGTGAACAAAAAAAAAAAGGGAGGGAGTTGAGGGGGGAACCTACTAGAGGAGTCTGTCATTATGGTTAGTAGGAAAAAGCATCCCAGGGGTGTGTGTTTGATATATGAGGTCACTTCGAAAGGACGTGTTCTTTTGACATATGGTCAGGTCCCACTTATCCATGCTAATAGAAGAGCCCACACTGGCAGCAATAAGCTACAACAGCAGATAACTTCAGCAATAATTTATATTTGGCTTTGATATGCATTAAGTGTAGGGTTTTTGCATCAGCCTGAAAGTTTTTTTTATACAAACAGTAAAATGCATTTTTAAGCCCCAAGGATATACTGATATAGATAGTGAGAATAGGATAGATCAGAATGTACTAGAAGTCGGGGAAATCCATCCAGAGGCTAAAATGTGTCTATTAGGTAGATAATTAATATAGAGAGCTAATTGACAGAGGGAGTCCTGGTGTAGCGTTGTGGATTAAGGCGCTGGACTGCAAGGTCAGTCTGAACCACAAAGTTGGTGGTTCAAGCTCACCAGCCACTCCTCGGAAACCCTATACAGGGTTGCTATGACTCAGAACTGACTCAACAGCACTTAACAACAACAAGAAAAACAACAATAATTGATAGTGACTGTAAGTGACTATTAGTGGTGGTGGTGGTGGTGGTGTGGTTCTGTGCCGTGGAGTCAGTTATAACTCATAGCGACCCTGTACAGCAATTCTGAGGCTGTAAATCTTTACGGGAACTGAAAGCCTCATCTTTCTCCCGCGTGATAGCTGGTAGTTTCAAAGTGGTAACCTTGCAGTTTACAGCCCGATTTGTAACTACTATCCTACCAGAGCTCCTTGGCTAATAGTAGTAGTAATTAAGTTATTATATTGGTTTTTTTTGGGGTTTTTTTTTTGTTTTTTTTTTTTTAAGTTTTT